TTTAAACGGGGCGCAACGATTCAAACGGGGGTGGAATTTTCCAAACGGGGCGGAGGTAATTTAAACGGGGCGCAACGATTCAAACGGGGGGGGAGATTTTCCAAACGGGGCGGGCGCGCCCCGTTTGCGCAACGTGGGGAGAACCCTGATATATATAACTTACATATGTCTATAAAGGATGATTCTGTGGTTTTCTTTGAGCAACCCATACGGGTTTGACTTTTAAGTTGGGAGAAGAGTCGTGAGGGAGTGTTTGGTTTTAGGCCACTAGGGGAGTCAAAACGCAATATGGTGAGCTAGTTGCGTCAGGGCGATGCTGAAAATTCACAGTTCGTGCCTCTTAGCCGTTGATTTGTGTGTGCAGAGTGCCTAACAAACTCTGATTGGTTCTTCTGTCTTTACCTAAAATTTCGTGCTTTTTTGCGATGGTATTCTTAATGTCATCAACCATTTTGTCAGTCGGAAGGTATACATACATTCACGTCTGCCAGTATTAATTCATCTCGTGTCTTTCCTTGTGTGTTACCAGCATGCTGGTTCCTAGTTCAGCATATGTACAAGCAACGAAAGGCAAAGCTTGGACCGTTCCAGAGGAAGAAACGCATGAAGAAGACTCAGTAAGATCGCCGGTATAATACGAGGGAGAGCAACGCAGATATCCTATCGACTGTTTCACCCGCAGGTTCACGTGCGCACCTTGCAATAAAATCTGTGATTCGACAATTTCCAAAGAGATTTGACGTTCTCGTTTTCGGAGCATGAGAAATTATCTCATTCCACTTTAGCTAGTGAGTGCGATCGCTGCGGTAGTTCTGTGTGGTGCCCAACTGTTGGTTTAACGTAATTATAGTGAAGTGATTTCTATTTCGAGCAGCCCGAAAATCGAGTGACCTGAATTATTAGTCGATTGGGTAATTCGTGTAAATTTTACTACTCGGGTATTTCATTCTTTGATATCAAACCCACTAGCGTGTATCGAAACGTATTTTGTCTGGTGAGGTTTTTGTTAGTTAACACAATTGGCTGCTGTAGTCACTTGTGGTACAGGCAACAATCTTTTGAGTCTAGTATGATATCGGGGATGTGATCATTATAGGGATACAATGCATTTTGCATCTTTCTCCTAATTATATCGTTTGCTGGTAAGGCAAGAAGCTCCATCGCTGTGAGCAGTAGGTGTCAAAATATTGACAATTTGTCGTCTGCCAAAGATGTGGATATTTTTTATCGGTGTCACTGTCACCTGTATAATACCGTGGAATTGTAAACAATCATTGGCTGTGGAGTATTTCTTTCGTCACGATTTCTAATTTCTTGTAGATCATCACGAGTGAGTGCATGTTTGTGATCTAGAAAGCCTGTGTTAGTGGTCACCTCTATAGAACAGACACCTGTTTACAAAGGACACGTTTTGCATTTTCGTTGAAAGTTTTGCACTTTTTCATTGGTAGTTAATAGTTTTACACTAAAGTCACCTCTATAGAACAAACACCTGTCTAGAAAAGACACTTGTGGCATTTCCCTTTAGTGCCAGTTATGCAGTGAAGCCACCTTTATAGAATGGACACCTGTCTATAATGGACACTAGAATTGGACACTGGTTTGACTGCTTCCGATTGGTTGTGAAGTGTTGCCATGAATGGATTTGGCCTATCCACGTGGCATGATTGATGGGCAGCTCTAGCCAATCATTGTTGTGATAGTGCATCATAAAAGACAGTTCTTAGCAATGAAGTGTCATAGGATCAATGACTTAGCATGCACACATTGAGACCACATACGAACTGGTCTAGCTGGAATGACCTAGCAACAATACTCAAGTTGAGTCAACTTGCTCTTACCAGATACTTCAGTTAAATAGTGCAAACTAACTTCAGTGCGAAATTATTGATATTTACAAAATGATAAGTTTGCACTGTCACACCTATGCACTGACCTAGCAACCAGGGATATCTACTATATATATATAAACAGATATCTTAGTTACAAAAATTTAACCCAACACAAGAGTAGGATTACACTACTCTTGTATTGGGTTACATTAGTGTGTCTAATAGATAACTATGCTAGCAACTACTAGCGACGTGTTACCTCGTTCGGGCGATAGTTCAGTTGTGATGCCGTCATTGTTTCTAACACCACCGCTGTGTATGTCTAGCCGGACGTACGCTCTACTCGTGTAGTCCATTCACTCCCGCTGCAGGAGCTGTAGACTGGTAGAGCGGCTACATTCATAGAGCTACCGAGGTGTATGCAGGCAGTTTGTGAGATGAACTTAGTCGGTAGACTTTTTTGTGTGCAACTCGAATGAACTTATAGAAATGTCATTGTCATTTGTTTATTGTCATCTGTACCTATGAATATAAATTTTGTTGATTTTAAAAACAATGATGTTTTTTTTGCGATTTACTCTATGAGTTCGAATATCTTGCTAGTAATGTATACGCACATAAAGATGGGTTTACACTGCCAACTTTGAATTGGCGAATTGCGGAATTGCCGAATTAGAACGTGTTCTAATCTCCCAACTAGCTGCTATCGATCCTTATATACAGTGGGGACCTTTCATGAAAGGGCTGCTTTCTATTTCTGAAGTGAGGTCTACTGATAAAATGTTATCACATATATCTATGCTAGGATGACCCCTCTTCATTTTAAATTCATGTTTGCAAAATATTATTATTCTCGGGAGATATTGCGCATGCGCGAGCACCGTTTCAGGCTTTCAGTACGGCTTAAATAAAAGTACGTAATATAGCTTGCCGAGGGAGAGAGGGGTGGGAAACGGAAGGAAGGCGGTAGGGAAAATAGCTGAGGGCGGTGGAAGAAGAAAGAGACTGAGCGTGGGACACGAGAGACCAGGGGAAGGGCGAGCGAAGATGAAGAAGCAGTTTTGCACCTTACAGGATAGAGCGCTCTCCTTATTATAAACACAGGTCCGCTGATAAGAATTTATTACAGAAATCGATGCTGAGATACCCCCTGACCATACTAAATGCATTTTCATCACCAAATAAAACTCCTCTGGTGAGATATTGCGCATGCGCTAAAACAGCAACGTATTCACTAACTGGTATATGCAGCGGGGATCTTACATGCAAGGTCTGCTTCCTATTTCTGAAGTGAGGTCTACTGATAAAATTTTATTATATAGATCTATGCTAGGATAACCCCTCTTCATTTTAAATTCATAATTTTTGCAAAATATTAGTCTTCTCGGGAGATATTGCGCATGCGCGTGCACCGTTTCAGACGTGCAGTACGGCCAATGGTAAAGTACGTAAATATAGCTTGCTGAGGGAGAGAGGGGTGGGAAATTTAGGGAAGGTGGCAGGGAAAACAGTCGAGGGGCGGTAGAAGAAGGAGGCTGAGCGTGCGACATGGAAGACAAGGGAAAGGGCGGGCGGGGGTGAAGTAGGGGTATTGCACCCTACAGGCTAGAGCGCTCTCCTAACTATAAACACAGGTCTACTGATAAGAATTTATTACAGAAACCTATGTTGAGATATCCCCTGACCATATTAAATGCGTTTTCATTACAAAATATAACTCCTTTGGTGAGATAGTGCGCATGCGTTAAAACAGTAACGCAGTAAGGTTATGTACTGACTGGTATATACAGTGGGGACCTTTCATGAAAGGGCTGCTTTCTATTTCTGAAGTGAGGTCTACTGATAAAATGTTATCACATATATCTATGCTAGGATGACCCCTCTTCATTTTAAATTCATAACGTTTGCAAAATATTATTCTTTTCGGGAGATATTGCGCATGCGCGAGCACCGTTTCAGGCTTTCAGTACGGCTTAAATAAAAGTACGTAATATAGCTTGCCGAAGGAGAGAGGGGTGGGAGACGGAAAGAAGGCGGTAGGGAAAATAGCTGAGAGCGGTGTAAGAAGAAAGAGACTGAGCGTGGGACACGAGAGACCAGGGGAAGGGCGAGCGAGGATGAAGAAGCAGTTTTGCACCTTACAGGATAGGGCGCTCTCCTTATTATAAACACAGGTCCACTGATAATAATTTATTACAGAAATCGATGCTGAGATACCCCCTGACCATACTAAATGCATTTTCATAAAAAAAAAAAAAAAGATCTAACAACAGATATCAATAGCCTGATGGAGAGCAGGGACGCGCGCAATACTAGCCTAACATATTACAAGTCTACGTTAAATCCATGTGCATGCTTGTAGGATCGGATATGGAGTGACAAGATTCTGGAACTCGAGACTAGCAAATCTTTTCAATATTCCCCTACTTAGGCCACTAGCAGAAGTATACGGTCGGCGGTTCCGTATTCAGTTTAGGCTATCATCGGGAGTCATTTTTTATACTTTATATTTTTTTCATTTAGTGGAGATCAAGCACAAAATAATAAATATTTATAGAAGGGCTTATATTTATGCAGAAGCACATATTCAAAACATGGGGGGACATTTGATATTGTGTCTCCACCCTTCGAAATTGGGGGACGTGTTCCCCGTGTCGCCATGACATTTGCACAATGACAAATAAGCAAGTAGTGATAGATAATAAAAAGTAACATGTCATAGTAGCAAATGGTATGGACTGAGTGTGAGTCACGCGTGTGTAAATATAATATGTCTACTCCTCTTAGAAAATATGTCACTAAACATGGCGGAATAAAGTGGGCTAGAATACCTTTAATACAATGACAATATGTCATTAAAAGCAATGATCGTAGGCGTTTTGTAATTGTTACTGTAGATTTGTGTGTAACAGTTGATTGCCCTAGCCTACTGAATTCCGACAGTTCCGTCTATGATTCCCGCATGTATAGTCGTTGTCGTCTTCTTTTGTCGTTTTATAAACTTCGCTGTGCTTTGTTGCTTTGTTCGCGCGTCATGTTCGATGCTCACTTTGTACAGGAGCGTGCGTCGATAACTGTTCTACATCTCACTCGAACATCTGTTGCGCGGGTTATCGCTGACGGAGTGTGGCGATAAAATGGACTAGCGCCTTGGCCCGCTTTTCCTCCTCGCCCCTCCTCCTCTCCTCCTGCCTCGCTGCCATCCTCCTCCTCCGTCCTCTCTCTCCATCTGTTTCCTTTGGTGAAGGTGGTTCTTTTCCTTTGGTGTTGTGTGGATTTTTCCTATTGGTGAGGGCACACTTCGACTGCTATGATATTTCAACACGTGATTTGTTTGTCCGCTGGATGACTTTTCTCTTGCGCTAGTAGGATGTGTATATGATAGCCGATCTAAGCGTATGGGATTTGTCTATGTCTGTCTTCAATGGCGGAAGCGAACATGATTTTTTGCGAGCGGCTCTATCATGGGGGCGATTCGATGGACATATGAGATGAGAGAGTCATGCGTGAGCCCGTCCGCGCTACTCGGAATACGTACGTCTGGCCCATAAACCAGCGAATTGTTTGCGTACTACGTGCAGTGTGTAGACTCGCGGTACGTGACCGTGAGTGTGTGTGGTGGCATTGCGTGCGTCTAGTGTGTGTGGTTGTGTGGGGGGGCGTAGCGTAGGCCAGTGTGTGCGGGCGTGCGTGAGTCGTGCTGTTCATACATTCCGACGGTGTTGAACACTATGTCCAGGAACACATCTCACGCTTACAGGAACGGCGCAACAGTAACGATGCAAGCAAGCAACGCCGTTGTCCAGAAGCAAATTATATCAGCAACTCGATGAATGATTTTAGTACATGGCGAGCAACAATGTCGCACCTCTGTTTCCCTCGTCATCGCCCGCCGTCGCGGGACAAAAAATCTCACGCTTCGTCTTCTGGATTGAGCGATCATAAAAGCGTGTTGTGTCGTACGCCACTCAATACCGAAAGAAAAAACCCCACACTAGCATCAACCGCCATTATTGGCAAGGTGTCTGAAACTTTGCCCCTATTTACCCTACCACCTACAGGTGTGTATAGAACTCACTTCGGCACCCTGAATATCGTCGTGGTCATGTTATCATGCCAGTGGGGCAGTGCAGTCACCACGGCGGGCCTGTAAGTCGTAAGCAGCAACTACCGCCCACTGGCGACGAGTGATATACGGCGGCACACGTCTTGTCAGCGGCGGGTTGCGGCACGCAGGCGCACGCCCCCATTCCACCACGCAAGCCTAGTGACAAGTTACTGGTGATATGACACACACACACCGCGTACCGCACGTATACGCACGCACGCACGCACGCACGTACGGACACACACGCGCGCGCACAGGCACACATTGTGTGTAATTATTCCTATTATCTACTCCTGATATATATATATATTATATATATATATATATATATATATATATATAATATATATATATTATATGGAGTTGGTGCATGTGTTACGGTTGTTCTCCGCTCCGCGTGAGATTCGCTGAAATGAGTTCCTGATAGATTTACTGCATTGTTATTATATTACACTTATATAATTGAGTTCTGTAATGATTATGTATTATGCAAATTCCTTGAATGAATCAACCGTCATCAAGCTGGTCACTCAACTCAGTATGGAGGCGGTGTGACATAATTAAGGCTGAGCCGTTCGATGCGCTTGACAACCAGGGGACGCGTCAACTGCATGTGACTGGTGAAAGAGTGACAAAGGCCAAACGACAAAATCATCCTAGTTATCGTCATTGCTATATAGACACAAAAAGTCACTTGTTCCGTCGTATAGCTGCAAAACTGTCGTTAAGAGAGCGTGGATCAGAGAGGGGGAGATCAGAGAGGGGGTCGAGAGAGTATGAGTGCGAAGACGAGCGCATGCGGAAAGGGAGAGGGAAGATAGAATTATAGAAAGAGAGAGGAGAGAGAGAGAGAAAGTGATAGCGCGCGAGAGAGAGAGAAACGAAGAGAGAGCGCGCGAGAGAGGGCGTGAGAACGAACTGCGCGCGCGAGAGCCGAGAGCGAGAGCGAGAGGAGAAGGCGACGGAGGTGCTGAAGAGGGATAAAAGAAAAAAAAAGGAAAAGGTTGAGAGAAAAGATAGTAAAAAGCGGATGAGGAGAGCGAGAGACACACGAGAAAAGTGAAGATAAGCCTTAAGGGCCGGACACACTAGGCGATTTTTAGATGCTCTATCTAATTCGGGCGAGCTTTTATCGCCCGCATAGTCGCCGCGCGGTAATGAGTCGGCACTGGAGTGGACACACTAGGCGATAATTCAGCGCGATTATCCGGGCGATTTTTCTCCCGCTGGCAACACTAAACGGACTCGCAGGCCGCCTAGATGATAGTCACATGATTGAAAATGGCACCGTTTGATTGGGCTGATGAATTTGTAGCAATCGCGCGACTCTTCGCCGACCCGGAACACACTAGCGATTAAGTCGGCGCGACTGAATAATCGCGCCCGATAATACAAAACGTTTGATCGTATGCGAATTGAATCGGGCGACTAAATCGGCGGCGACTGAC